CAGAGATCCAGTTGAAAAACAAATATAGACATCTTTTCCCTTTTCCATCCCTTGTAGGAGATCAAGGAGCTGGAGTCCATGATAAAGAATGAGGTGGTAACCCTTCCAAGCTCCGAAAAACGGTCCTTGGACATGGACCAGTACATCAAGTCTGTTGAGGCTCAGTATGCCAGTTATGCCGCTACTGCCAGGCAGGAGGCAGAATACTGGCACCAAAAAAAAGTAAGGACAGGGTAAAACAAATCAAGAATTTTCACCGTTCTACAAGTAAAGGTTATGCATTTTCCAAACTTTAGATGGATGACTTGGCACAAAGGGCAGGAGAGAAGGAGCAGGAAGTGCGTGACATAAAGAGAGATATCGCTGACATCTTGCGTAAAATCCAGAAGGCTAAGTCTGACCTTGAAGCTTTGAAAAGAAAGGTAGGGACCAGATTGTAATAACACAGCATTTCTACATCTATTCACACTCTAGCCATCCAGCTGATGCCCTTTTCCTTCTCCATTAGGAAGATTCCTTGAGCAAGGAAATAGATGACAGCAGAAAAAGTGGTGATGAAAACATTGAGACTGCCAGGAGGACCATCAAGGAGCTAGAAGATGCCTTGAAGAATAATAAGCAGGAGCTGGCCAGGCAGATCCATGAATACCAGAAACTGCTGAACGACAAACTGGCCCTCGACATCGAGATCGCCACCTATCGCGAGCTTCTGAGGGGCGAAGAAGACAGGTACATGATGGTGGAGGTTACAAAGCGAGATTGTGTCAATATGCAGAAGAAGAAGCCATGTAAAACCTTTGTGTAACTTAACTTCTTCTTCTCTCCTTTGTCTCTTTAAAGAATGAAAAAACTTCACTCAGGTGAGAAGCATTTTATTTACCACTGTGATATGAAAAAGAATGTTCAAATCAAGGTTTGAACATTCTTTTTCATATCTTTTTGTATGTTGTGATCATAAACTAACCAATGAGAAAGATTCATAGGTTATGTGTACTAGGGCTGCAACTTACAAATATTTTGCAAAGTGATTCATTGCAAAGCGATAATTTTTTTCAATTGATCGATTAATATTTATAATAATCGGATAGCCTAATGTTCCTTAAAGAAGACTTTTACAAAATTAAACAAGGTAAAACTCCTCTTTGAAGAAAGCCCCCACCCCACCCGGCCCAAAACAAAACAATTCTGAAAGAAGCAGAATCCTTCTTCTTCATATTTCTTCATAAACTTTATTAACTTTTTTAAAACTAGATTATGCTTTGACATTACCCATAAGGGGCACTCCAAGCATAATGATTTCCTGTTCCCTTAAATAACTACTCCCTCAGTGAAGTGCTGATCATCTAATTCCAAACCAATCCAGCGTAATTAATTAATATTTTGTACCAAATTATGTCAAAAACCCTAAAGAGCAAGTTTCTGATTTTTTTATTTTATTACCTCAGTTATTGCTATTCATATTGAATCATTCAATCTGAACCCAAACTGGCCTATTAAGATAAAATAATTCCCAAAAGAGAGTGGGAGCCCTTAAAGTTGAACAGAAATGTTACAATTAGACAAAATGATTTCATAAGTTTGTGTTCAGAGCTCAAAATTGCAGTTTTTAAAATTTGATATTATATTTTTAAAACACACAAAAAACTTCAACAAACATTTTACAAATTTCAGCAATTCTCAGGCTTTACTGATGTTTTGTGCTTCACTAAAATCAAACCTCTCTTTCGCTCAGATAACTAAAAACAAACAACCAATCCAAGTCCTTACTTGCACGCAGACGTTCACCAGCCAGAGAGGAAACACCTGCAAGAGGAAAAAAAACACCCGCGAGAGAATCACCTGCAGGAGAGGAAACAACAGTCAGAGAAAAAGCAAGAGAAGAAGGAAAAAGAGCTTCAAGCAGCTCCTCCATCTGGGGGGTTCGCCATCCAGACTCCAGCCAACCCACCTCCCTCTCCCTCCAAGAAGCGCCTGCTGATCCGACTGCAGGTGGAATCTGGGAGGGTTGTCTCCGAAACCACTCAGTACACCGACTGATTGTCTGACACCTCCTCTAGCATTACAACATATCCGCAAAATGTGAATTTTTTAAATTTTAAATTACAATCAATTCAATTATTTAAACCTCTTGATAAAATTAAGAAGCAATAATCTCTCTTGCGTGCTTCCTGGTAGAGTGAACGTCTTGGTGCAGCTTGATGGCAGGTTGAATGTTCTCCTTCAATCTGTTGTTTCACATTAAATTGTGTTTTTGGAAAAGTTTTCTTATCTTTGTTGGGATGTGCAATGCCTATGGTGCTCCAGAGTTTTCTATCATCTTCTAAAAATTGAGAAGCTATACACTAAGTTTTTCATATTGTGTGAAAAAAATTCTAGTGTTAAGGTTTTTTTTTGTTTATTTCTGTTAAGTTTCATGATGACAGAAGTTAAAGTTTCGAGCATGTAGGAATGGTTTGTTGTTTATTGATTCCCATCTTTTCGATATAAATCAGATCATGCCGATAAAACAAAAAGGAAAGGTTATCTGAATTGGATGCTTTGTGTGTTGCAGTATTGCAATGCTGCAAGCCTGAAATCCTCTGTTGGCTTCTGTGCTTATTGCATTCTTCTTCTTTTTCTTTCTTTTTTTTTTTTTTTTACCTCAAACCTTCCAAACAGTTCACTGTTATCCAGGGATTTCACTGTTAACCAGTGATTCATACTTATAAATGAAGCTTCCATAAATGCTGAGTCTGGGGTCTTTATTTCCCTCACACACACACAAACAGTACAGAGTTATCACTTTAAGGAAAACATTGATATTTAAAAAAGGAAAACATTGATATTTAAATAAACATTATAAAGAAGCTGCAGCCAATAATCTTATATTTTAATCAGAGGCCTTTTTCTATATTATCTAGGTCTGGGGAGCGAATTATTGAGCATGTCTAGTGTTGAATTGATCATGTTCTTTGCTCAGCTTTAAAACCTTAATAATTTTTTCAGTTTTCTGAAAGGCCATCACACATGAAGCCTTTTTGTAGTTGCAACTATATTTCTTTTTCAAATGGTTCATGTCTGTTTGTTTCCAGTGCAAAACAAATCAAGGGTTACTTTTGAAAATACTATAAATTATTTTTTTGTAAAAATATGAAACAAAAAAAGAAATGAGGGATTTAAAAACATTTCCAGATGACTATATTGCGCCTAATGTGCAATATAATATGAACATGTGTTTTTCCTCATATTAATTTCATCACTTAATGCCAATTCTATTTTGTTGTTGCTGAAAAAGCATTCTTTCTATAGTGAAAAGACAAAGTTCAGATAACCAAAATTTCACCCAAACACACTGCAGATTTTGTGTCTAAAAAAAAAAAAACAGCCAATCAAAATCAACCTCCAAGTCACATATGAAACAAGGTGGTTGAAAGAATAATGTGTCTGCCGAGTCAAAGTTCGGCCACCAGTCAGTAGCAGCAAAGAGCACACCCCAAACTTCTAGTTTTTTGATTTGCTAATTAGCATTTATTTATGTATTAAAAAATTAAAATGAAAAATAACAAGAACAACAAAAACCTTAGCGTAAAAGGTGGAAAAATTAAATCTGCCGTTTTAACCCACTAGAGAATCTCAAGTATCTTATGAAAGACCTGATTGTGGTCCTTTGGTAGGACGACAGCAGAGGGAAGTTGACATGTTTTTCATTCTGTGTGAACTGTAGAATCCAGTTCTGCCTCAACTCACAAGTGCATCAAATATTTTAGTCACTTGGTAACTTTAAACTTTAAAAGAATCTATTTAAAAGAATATGTTCACAAATAAAGCCTAAAGCTAATTCAGAGGTATCAAGGAGAACATACTGTCCAGCACCACGGACAGCGACACCCTTAGAGGGTTGAACTGAACTGGAATCATGGCGATTTTGGGCAGTTGCAACAAATTTTACTACAAAAATTAAAAAAAATGAAAAACTACTTGTAAGATAAACAAATAGATACATTTTAGAAGGTGAGAAAAAGCATAGCCATGTAATTTAGTGAATAATTTTTTGTTTAATTGGCCTTGTGAAGGGTGTTAAAATATTAGAAAACAAGCAAAAATCTTAATTTCTTTGCCTTTTAACTATAGCAGGCTGCTGGGACTGCTGGGCCTTGTCTCCACGCTATTATGCACCTTAGGTTTAACTTTATCATCTACACATACCCGCAAGCTTTTGCATAACCCCTCTGACAATTACATTCTATTATCATTTCTGTTTACATATATTTTATCCCTAATAAACTATCCTTTTGTACACCGTAGCCTTTGGCTTGGTCTCCTGTTTTTATGTCCCTGAATCATTCATAACAGCAATGCAAAGACACTTTGCCAGCATTAACAATGAAAAAACAACAATTATACAACTTGAAAGTTAAGCGAAAGTATTATGGCTAATTTGAAGGTTGAATATGTCAAGAATAATCAAAAACCTGACACACTTGCTAGAAACATGCACATGACAGTCATCAGCATAGAGGCTAATCCAATGCTTTAAGCCACTTTAAGCCACACACAGTGTACTAGAATTGACATGCGTATTGTGTGAAGAATTAAAATCTGAGTTGGCATTGCCAGTTTAACATTTAGTTCATTTACTTTCTTTCCATATCGTTAATGTCCTTTTAAAATGTAACACACCCACAGCTGTCTGATAGAACAGCTTCATTTTTTCATTTCATTTTTTCATTAAAAAAAAATGAAATTGTCTAAAGCTGTTTTGAACGAAATTTCTTCTTGCATACACTTGTGTATACAAAATGACAAAATAAATCTAAAGTCTAAAAACGTGGCAGTCAAAAATCTGTTTCCCTCCTTAGGGTGGATAAGAGTTTCCTTCCTACTTTGAGTTCTCAAACTACCTACTGTAGGTTGATAATCTCTCCCTTCGCTTATGTAGGTTAAAGAAAAACAAAGTTCTGCATCTAAATTCTTATCTCCCCTTATTTTCTGCTTGTATTTAATCTGAATTTCGACTGTAGAAGGAAACTGGAGTATCTGTGGTACATAAATGAACCTAAGTAGCAGGTTAAACCTTATAGGAAGGACATAAACTCCCCAGTTACTTGGAGTACTGGGCTTCTGCGAGTCAAGGAGCAACCGGAGTGAATGGACACAATCTCCATGTGAACCAATAACACCTACAATCTTCAGCTACTTGGAATTTTTCATTAACTGAACTAGTATTTACAGGAAACTCAATATTACACAGTTGAACTGTTGGCATCGGTTCATTCAGATGGTTTCTCTTTTACTTTTATTGACATCTTAGTAATTTAATACACCTGTAAAACACGTACAGTAGATTTACTCCCTCCTACGATAAAAAGGGTTTCTGTTGAGCGAGTTACATTACCCGTTTTTTTTACATGCCTGCAATTGGTTTTGTTGACACACCTGCACATAGAATTCGGTATTGACGCTTTGAAAATTTTAAAACAATCAGTTTGGCCAAAGGCTTTGTTTTCTTTATACGTGTCCCCGATCTTCTCATTGTTTTTTTTCCATTAAACCGTTTTTACTTTACCATTGAACCTGTGAAATATGTTTCAGCTTTGAGACGACCAGAAGTTATAGAAGCAGATGATTTTCCTCCTGAAACATTTTATATTGTGCATTCGGTTTTATATCTTTTTGCAGATACTCTAATCTCTCTGAGGACAGAAAACCTTTACAAAATAAATTTATAACAAATCTAAACCAAAACAAATTCATATTTCAAAAATGACATTTTTTATTTCACTTATGACTTATTGACTTTTATATCTTGCAGAAGAAAAGGTCTCTATGAAATATTCCCTCATTAATTCTGCAGGTGAAAATTAGTCCAGAGATCCATTATTTTAGCATTTCTTTTAAACATTTTCTTCTATCTTAACTGAACTGTTTCTTCTAAAGGTTGGTAATGTATTTCAGGTATGTATTTCAGCTCATACCTTCACTAATGTGTTTGGAGCACATTTTTTGTGTGTGTTCAATGAGTAACTGAAAAGTCATTCTGATTAATTCCTGTGTTGAGACAAACTTCGCATAAACTCTTGGCACAGATATGACGGAAATAGTCAGCAAATGAAAATGAAGCTGTCAATCATAGAAACAAACAAAGCAAATGGAATGCAGGCAAACAAATATTCTCTCATTATCAGTTTGTTTTCATCAGTGAAGAAAAAATCTTCCTTTAACTGTGTGCCAGAGGATATGACTTGAAGAAGGAGGCGAGATGAGTCAATCAAAATAAAGTGGCAGGACCTGATAATAATGAGTCATACAGAGCCTTCCTGTTATTTTACACCACAAACAAAATAAATGGAGTGTTATTGTAGAATGAAATCAAAAAGTTATTGCTTTTTTCATCCCACTCTTCCTTAACACCAAATTCCTGCATGCACAACAAATTATTCTAGTAGCTTAGCTGTAGATTTCTGCAGCTTCTCGTATTGTGTCATTCTTTTTTCCCTTCTAATGAAAAGTTTGAACATTGCTACAAATCATAATCAAAGCTCTCTCTGATCTATCAGCTGTGCTTTTTTTTTTTTCATGGTGCTGCATAGTTATTTAAGTTTTCTTTGTTAAGGCTGGATCACAAACAGGTGAACTCTATTTACAATATTTAAGTTACTGTCAGGTCTAAGCACCTAAAACATCACACATACATGCAGGGAAAGAAAGAAGGCACAGAGACAATTAATTTATTTTTACTCGCGATGAGAGCAAGAAGGAGACTGCGGAGTTTACAAATCTCCACCTCACTCTGCAGTCCCAGCGTTCTGCTCGCTATTTATTAGAAATCAGGGGTCCCTTGTTACAACAGCTGAGACTGCTCTAGAGATCAGAAACAACATGAAAAATTCAGACTTGCAGTCTCAGTAAACATCCTATAAATTTCAGGGTTCAGTCAAAGTTTAAGCTGTTGAAGGTGTTCACCAAAGTTCAGCAGGTTGAGTGCTGCTCGTAAATAAACCACAACCTCCCCAAAAGCAAGTTCACAAATCACCGTATACTTCAGAAAAGGTGGCTGTGAAAACATGCACATAGCACACAGCTTTATGCATGATAACACTACACAGATACATTTATATACAATTATTCTAACAGTTACTATCAAAGACGGAGTGTTGTATACGGTACATTATTAGTAGCTAAATAAAATTTGAATTCGATTTATAACCCAAAAATACTAAAAATTATAATTTTATCTTAGTATAATGCAAGCATTGCTTCTATGTTATCTACAGTCCACTAAGGTCATTAGTTTGCATTTTTAATGTGAAATTTTTTTTAAAGTTTAACAGGTATTAGTTTTGCTTTCTCTTTGTGTTAAAACTGCGCTACTGGGCTGGTTTGTGTTTAACTAAAATCTCCACATATTTCTTAAGGATAGAAGCACTTATCATCTAGCAGCAGTTAGTTCATGTCTCCAGCTGTCACTTAAAGTTTCTACAAAATATTTTTTTCCAAAGAAATCCACCTCTATAGTAAAATCTTATCTTTCTTTAACAATTGAGTATAATTTTTTTTTCCCTCAGTGGGAAGTTGAACTTATTTTTTTTTTTTTAGGTTTTGTTAGTTGTTTCTACTACCTGTGTTTGCTTAAAACTGTTATTTATTTTATTTGTGGAGCCCTCCTGGACTTTACTGGAATTGGCATTTTGTTTAGGTTGAAAAAAGTCACAAAAGCGAAACTGTTTTCCTTACAACTTGTTTACAGATGCAGTAAAAAGTGAATTATGACAACATACTTATCAGATTTCCATGGAGATTACTCAGTCACTGGAACTGAGTAATCACAGGAGTTTCAAATTTTTTTGCTCAGTGATGCAAATCAAACATTCAAACATACTACTGCAGAATCATTTAATGCTGGCTACACCAAATGCTTGCTGACTAAACATATAGCAAACCAGTTTTATTCAGTGTTGCTTTATGGGATATGATTTCAGAGCAAACTAAGAAAAGCAGCAAAGGTCAAATGACCAGGATAGCTGCATATTGCAGTTCTCCAAACTTTTTTTTGACCTGTGTACCCCTTTGGAATTTGTCTCATACCATGAGAACCGCTTTCAGTCAAAAGTATTGATGATTGTCCAAAAGTGGAACATAAAATAACTGAATATAAAGACAATTTGACTCAATCAAGAATTTAATATTGATCATTTTATGCTTTCCATCCTAAATGGGAAAAAAAATACATAAATATGGTACCTGGAAGTTAGTAAGGAATTGAAATAAATACAAAATACAATATATTATAAACCTTTATTTATAAAACTGGAGCTCCTCTGAGTAATTCCCTTATAATCACATTTAAACGTGATGAATTGGGAACAAAATGCAGAAAACAAGTTATGGTCAGACTCAATTGTTTAGTTTTACTTTGTTTTCATCAAGACACCTAAGCTCTGAGAGCTCAGTGTGGGAAAAGAGTGGATAACAGGCTGTTCTCTACATCCAGTCTGTTCCACTTCTTGTTACAGCTGAAGTTGAACTCAAACATATAAGAAAAACATGCTTTTTGGTTGATAAAAACTTGTTTATTTTTTTCAATTGGGTTCTCACAAAGCAAAACAGATCCGAGCCTTATTTTATTGTACTACCAAAGAAATAAAATATGTTCATGTACCCCTTGTAACGCACTTATGGACCACTAGGGGTTCGTGTACCCCCAGTTGGAAAACACCAACATAAAGGACAAAGGCCTCCATAGATGAGGCGCATGCTTAACCTCTACAACACCATGTGTCTAAAGATGAAGACTCATGTCACATTATTACAAATGTACCCATCAGTGTGTGACCCACCTACTTTTGTCAGAAGCAGGTTAAACCCTTGATTAGGCTGTCAAATGAAAACCAAAGACAACATGGGAAGTTTGGAGAAGATCTCAAGTTAAATATCCTTCTCTACAATAAATCACTGGAAAAATGATCTAGAAATAAATAAGTAAGTTTACCCTTAATTTGAGTAGTTAAATTAGATAGTTTGCCAATAGAATGAGAATTTTTACTCTTAAAATAGGATAAATAGATAATATGCACTTGAAATAAGACAATGTAATTGTTTTTTTCTTATTTTAAATGTAAATTGTTTTGTTCCATTGGCAAATGTCTGACTTACCACCTCAATTCAAGACAAAAAGCACTTCTTTTAAGAAAAAATGACTTATCGAGATTTTGATTTTTTTTTTTCCAGTGTAGAGGAACTTTTTTTCTTCTGATTTTTAAAGTAACAAAGAATCTACCCCTTCAATGTCAATTATTTAACTGTGTTTAACAGTTTTCACTTTAGCAGATCATTATCAGATAATACAATTATAAATTTGAGAGAAATCTGTTTTTTTCTCTGTAATATTTCTGTAATATTCAGTATCACTGAACAATATTGCAGAAGACAACTATTTAATTTATCCCCCTTCACAAATTGCAGATTTGATTAATGGGGTTACTGGTTCCCTGCGTACTGCCTTAGACAACATAGCCGCACACTTCGAAGCAAAATGCTAAGAAACTGAAGAGAAAAGGGCGCTCAGCATATGGGAATCCTACTTATTCAGGAAAACTGCTATAATACTGCTATATAAAATAACCAATCATAAACCAAGAGCAGCATTTTTCTCCTCATTAATAGAGGAGAATAAGAATAATCCTAGATTTCCTTTTAATACAGTTTTAGGGTTTTGATTAACTTTATATTGCATGCTACTGAACTCATATATTTCAAAAAGCCTGACTTTTGTCTAATCAGGCCACAGAATATTTCCATTAAATCTAGAAGATGATCAGGCTAAAATAATTCACTTCAAATAATTTAAGTGTGATTAAAACGGATGAAAAGAAAACATCTTAAAGTAGATAAATACTTTTTCAATTGTAAATTGCCTGTGTTTTGTACTATTTTAACATTTTGGGAATGCTTTTATTGGTCTTATTAGGAAAGTCTGGCAGCTTGGTTTGCACATGAAGGCCTTTTTAGATTATAACAGAGTCATAAAGGGTACATTATTAGAATAATTTAGATTTTTTTTTTGTGCCGTATGGTTTCAATAAGTTTCTTGTGTGAATTATTGACAAGATCATAAATCAAGAGTCCCCTTTTCATTCAAAAAAAAACCTTTATTTTGCTCACATCATAGAAGTCAGGTTTGAAGAACACCCCATACTAATCCAATTTGACCACACCAATAGATTTAATTTAATGAGTGACAGAAAAGAACAGATTAGATGAAAGTTTTTAAATCTCAACCGACTACAAAAATCTGCTCTTTTTTTTCCCCCATCTTCAGCAGCAGCTTTTTTGTCGTTTTCGGAGCTTTTTTGTAGACGTTACAAGAACCTACCACCCCCCTCTGGAGTGGTTTTTGTAGGAGTCCAACTGGTTAGGCCTTTTCTGTGCTGTAAGCAGAAAAAAATTAAATATCAACATGTTAATTAAAAAAATTATTTTGTTTTTTAGTAGAATGAGGTTGTGGTTATGCAATAACAACATTACAGCAAACTAGTGCAGTTAGTATTATTAACTGTTAATGACCAACTTAGACTTTCTCGCACAGCTTTGAGGACGTAGATCTCTTTTGATGCTTAGGAAGAAAACCTATAAATGCATTTCTTCAACTATTTGAAGAAATACCATCAGAGACTCTTTGTCATTCTCTTCATTCAAAAAGAATGCAAAAAATGGCTTGTAGAGAGCCAAATTTGTGGGCACTAAGGTTTTCTGTGTGTATTTAAATAATTTTACAATTAATTTTATTTCTTAACCATAATGTTTTTTATGTAATTGGTATTGTAATTTAATCTTGTGATTTTATACTTGTGTTTATTTTTAAGGTTGCCTTTATAATATCTGGCTGGGGGACTACTGATGAAAATTAGCACTCCTTAGCTAACTTGGGTATATTTACACTGTTTCAATGTTGATTAATGTACACTGTCCCCTTTCAAATAAACAATAAATGAAATGGAAAAATTTGCCAAACATTAAGTGGCGGACAAGATATCATACTTGAGCATTTCCCTAAAACTGAAGTAGGGCTTCAAATATGGAGAGAGTATGAGAAAACTTGCCCAAAGGCGCAATAGATAATTAAGGTGCAAATGCTTTCATTTATACCCTTGAAATTACAGTAGAAACTATGGGTTTGCTTTGCTGCCATTTGAATCAGCTTTGGTTACTTTAAGGCTGTCATTTTAGATTTCAACAAAAAAAGATGCCCGCTGTTCATCAGCCTCTACACCCTCGGGACAAGGGTTATTTTTTGTTTGGCCAGTCGGATTATGAAAGAGAACCATCTTTATGTAGGTCAGTAAGGTCACGTTTCCATTGAAGGTTTTGATGCTTCATTGCTTTTTTTCTTTTTTTTAATAAATGAGGTCTAACATCACATTGTGTCTCCAATAAGCAGTTCTTTCATGCCTGATTTGCATCTTGCTAATTGCTATTACTCCTCACCTCTTAGCATCAGCGGGTATGTCGTTCATCAGCTTATTGTAGGCCTGCGTTTCTTTCTCCAGCTCCCTCTTGTCACCTAGAAGCTTTTTGTAGTTTTCCCCCTTTTGCTGCACATCTGCTTTCACCTCCTTCAGCTGTTCCTCCAGCCTAATTATAATGTCGTTTAAAGGGGCCAGTCGCATGTTGTTCTCTTGCTTGGCTCTCCTTACATTTTCCTCAATAGTGTTGATCTGTGAAGGAAAAAAGACAGATTTAAGAAGTTAGATTTGAAGCTTTCACTGCTGTAAATGTCTTCTTCTAAAGACTAATACAGTCTCAATCCTCCAGCATTGCTCTGTTTTTAGTCCTCCTTTTGCCTCTGGAAAACTGGAAAGTCTCAACTCAAGAGCCAGCATGATGCTGCCTCCGTGTTTCACAGTCTTGATGAGGTGTTTGTGATATTATGGTGTGGTTTCAGGATTTTTATTCCACGTTAATTAAAGGAAGTTAATTAAAAATCCACTTTTAATTCCTGCTTCGTCTTTGACTCTTTTGCCTCTAGGCCACAAATCCTGTTTTTTTTTTCTCCCTCTGGCTTTAACCAGCACCTTTAGCTTAATTACAGGAATGCCTGTGAAGGCCAAACTTCAAGGTGGGAACATGACAAAAAGACTGATCATCTTCTGCGCAAATCCAGAACAACAGGTTTGCATATATTGTATACCTGATGTGTTTTTAAATAAATCTAGACGTGTGCGTCTTGGGTTTTACTGACCCTGGTGTAGGTAGAGATAATCTCCATTTCCAGACTTTTCAACTCTTTCTGCAGATTCTTGAGCTCCTTATTTCCAGCCTCCAAGGCCTCGGTGTTCTTGGCCTCCTTCTCCTTGATGTTCTCAAACTAGGATGGAAGAATAAATAAGATTAGATAATCAAATCAGCACAGGAGGAAATTAGCAGCTCAGTTTCCCACCTTGTTCTTGTACCACTCTTCGGTTTCCTTCAGGTTCTTCTCAGCAACCTTCTCGTAATGCTCCCGCATGTCTTTGACAGTCTCTGACAGGTTGGACTTCTGGGGCTCAATCTCCACCTTCACCTCAGAATTTATAATCTTCTCGCGCAGATCCTTCACTTCCTACAACAGCCATGTGATAGAGTTAAACAGAAGTCCAAAACAATAGAGCAGATGTGAGCAGATGTTCACTGAGTGCAGCTTCACCTCATTGTGCTCCTTCTCAAGGCTTTCCAACACCTCCTTTATTATTTTAATTTCATCCTGGTGCTCCTCTTGGCTCTGCTTAATTTGCTCTCTTTCCTTTTTCAAATTTTCCAGGTATTTCTCTGACTCCTTGTTCTTTTCTGTCTCCTTATTCTGCCTGTTTGTGATTACAGACACATCCTCACAAATGCAACACATCAGAAAAGGCACTAGATAAGACCAGGGCTGTATGGGATCCCAACAGGTTGGTCAAATACACTCCACTTAACATAAATAAGGTCAAATTTATATAGATTAGTTGTGCTAATATGGGGCATGTATGTAAATTCTGACTGAGCGAAAACAAGAAAGGATTCTGCCCACTGATTGCATTGACACTTACCTTTTTTCAAAGTCCTCAAGGGCCAACTTTGTGCAGTCAATCTGGACCAACAGCTTTGCATTCTCCTTGGTGAGCTCTTTGATCTAAACAGATAATAATAATAATAATAATAATAATAATAATAATA